TACAATGTGTTTAAACTTCAACTGATGTTAACCCGGCAGTGCGGTGCTATCCTAGATAGGTCACAACCAGTTAGCCATCCATTTATTTTAACATTTTCTGCACCCATGTTTTATTATATTTCTAATGGTTTTCTATAAATAACGTGATGCACAATTATGTATGTATATACATACAGAGACACTTTATATTTTATATATGTTGCACAGTTTTTTCTTCTTCTTTCTTTTCCATATATTTTATAATATGTATAAACGAAAAGAGAAGGAGAGAGGAAAAATACAACAAATTGATATCCATGCATGAGTGTATGCAACATGTGTTACTGTCATACTAAACTGTGCTGGTCATGTCCATGGACATGCTTGAAATAGGTTTTTATTCCCAGTAGTTAGCATTTTAACAATAGTGACAGCAGGTGTATTAAACCAACAACAACAAAAACAAACGATCTAACGAACAACTGACTGAACATTGTTCAATGTGTATGTATGTGTGTGGCCAATGAAGTGTGTCGATGTGTGCGCATTGAGAATTTTATATATTCCATCATCATTACTTTTTTCGTTGTAGTAGTGTTGTTGTTGTTGGTGTGGGAGGTGTGTTTGTTTCTCTCTTCAAATAGTGCATTTTGTTGGATATGACATAGCATATTATTATTATTTAAATGTACGTGTTAATTTGCTTTTAAATAAATTGATGTAATGTTAAATGTATGATGTTCGTTAATTTAAGGATATGTCGGGTATACTTTTCCATAGACTGTTCAGTTGTCCACACACCATATATAATTGCGGTAAAATATCAATATATCATTTTATTTTGACAGGGTATAATACAACAGTAGAAATATTTTCAGTATTTCAATGGATTGATTTAGGCATACATATACTTCAAGGACTGTCACAAGCGTAGATTTGAAACAACTATTTGAAACGTATATATCATAAAGAATTCAAGGGCCAATACAAGGCGTTGATTTAAAAAAAAAAACATTTTCAAGGACCAATAAAAGGCGTGGATTTTTAAAAAAGCATTTTCAAGGACCAATACATGGCGTGGATTTTTAAAAGAGCATTTTCAACTGACTGAACATTGTTCAATGTGTATGTATGTGTGTGGCCAATGAAGTGTGTCGATGTGTGCGCATTGAGAATTTTATATATTCCATCATCATTACTTTTTTCGTTGTAGTAGTGTTGAGGTGTGTTTGTTTCTCTCTTCAAATAGTGCATTTTGTTGGATATGACATAGCATATTATTATTTAAATGTACGTGTTAATTTGCTTTTAAATAAATTGATGTAATGTTAAATGTATGATGTTCGTTAATTTAAGGATATGTCGGGTATACTTTTCCATAGACTGTTCAGTTGTCCACACACCATATATAATTGCGGTAAAATATCAATATATCATTTTATTTTGACAGGGTATAATACAACAGTAGAAATATTTTCAGTATTTCAATGGATTGATTTAGGCATACATATACTTCAAGGACTGTCACAAGCGTAGATTTGAAACAACTATTTGAAACGTATATATCATAAAGAATTCAAGGGCCAATACAAGGCGTTGATTTAAAAAAAAAAAACATTTTCAAGGACCAATAAAAGGCGTGGATTTTTAAAAGAGCATTTTCAAGGACCAATACATGGCGTGGATTTTTAAAAGAGCATTTTCAAGGACCAATACATGGCGTGGATTTTTAAAAGAGCATTTTCAAGGACCAATACATGGCGTGGATTTTTAAAAGAGCATTTTCAAGGACCAATACATGGCGTGGATTTTTAAAAGAGCATTTTCAATTTTTTAAAGAATATTTTTTTACACAACCAACACAACGCGTAGATTTTTAAAAGATTTTTAGGAACAAATGCACTTTACGGGCACCTTTCAGATAATTTTGAAATTTTTACCATAGGTAGCCGTTCTGATGCCGATTATAGCAACATACATTTTTTCGGGGGGAAATCAGTACTTCCCGAGATATGGGGTTCCAAAGTTCAAAAAATACCCCCACTTTTTATTAAATATATTTAAGAATACCACTCCGAAACGTTTAAATTTTTTACAGCACATAGTCCTTTTGAAGCTGATTACAACCACATAATTTTTTTTTTTTTTTTGGTGAGAACTTCGTACTTCCGGAAATATGGAGTATCAAAATGTAATAAAAACCTACATTTTATACCCTTACTTATTATCCGACAACAAATTGAGTAATGAGAACAAAATTTTCTTTAAATTTCAATTTTTCCTGAATAGCCGGCCTTCGGCCGGGGATTTAAGACTTTGTCCTATGGACAGGTGGGAAATTGGGCTACGCGAGCAGAATTCTCTTTTAATTTAAATTTGTTTAAATAGCCGGCCTTCGGCCGGGTATTTGAGACTTTCTCCTATGCACATGTGGAAAATTGGGCTACGCGAGCAGAATTCTCATTTAATTTCAATTTTTTCTAAATGATTTCCCCCCGAAAAAACGTATGTTGCTGTAATCAGCATCAGAAGGACTAACTATGATAAACATTTCAAAATGATCTGAGAGGTGTCCGTAAAGTGCATTTAAGCCGATTTTTATACCCTTCACCACACTGTGGTACAGGGTATTATGTCTTTGTGCATATGTTTGTAACAGGCAAAAGGAATCGATATAGACCCATGGATCCTCATGGAAAATTTCAAAGCGATCAGCGCTATATTTCCGCCCTCAAGTGTGGCAATGTGTTTCTAAATAATATCTCAATACGTAAGCACCTGTAAATATTTTAGTGTAACTCCCACATCCGAGTACATACGACAATATAATTGGTATCAATTTAAAGGTCAACTACTCCTCTTGGATATACTATCAACTTCTCGGGCATATGTCCTTCAGGATCAAGTATATAGGCCCTAGAATAAAAATTTTGTAATTTTGCACACAAAAGTCAGGGTCCATTTGACCCGCTAAATTTTGACAGATCTTTATCAAAACAATCATGCTTATTCTTCGAACCCCTTCTCCATGTAAAATTTCACGATGTTCGGATCATAATTTCGGCCGCTGGAGCGACCAGAAAAATCGACAAAAATTTAGTATTTGGTCCATTTCATTCCCTTAATATTATTCGATCTTTACCAAAAACAATAGGGGTCTTCATTGGCCAGAACACGTCCTACATGCAAAAGATTGGTCCATAACTGTGGCCTGTATCGTGTTTACAAATTATAATGGACAGACGGACGGACACACATGTCTAGATCGTCTCAGCTAGTCGAGATATGACGATCGGTATAATTAAAGGTGGGTCTAGGACCAATATTTCGCGGCGTTGCAAACTTTTGGGCCTCCACAAAGCTATAATACCCTGACAACATAGTTGTGTAGGGTATAAAAATCCGGACCACAATTGACGATCGAATTTTTCTTATTTTACACCTTGACTTCGGTCTTGTATACCTTTTAAAAATAAGGTTGACGCCAGTGCCGTTTCCGTCCTAAACTATGTCCTAAGAGGATTTAGTTTAGCAAAATTTTAAGAAAAGCTTATTTTCAATTTAATTTTGAAATTTTGTAGCTATTAATGAGGTTTTATTATGGTCCTTTTAAGGAAAAATCACAGGTATCAGTATGAAATTATAAAATGTATATCTGGCGGACTAACTGAGATATATTTAAGAACCGGATCGTTATTTAGGCAGTAGATGTATAACATTAAAATATGAAAAACTATAATTCTAATCGGTTCCAAAAAGATCTTTAGGTGATATGGTAATATTTCTCAAATATATTGTACATTTTATATTAAATATTTTTTTAAAAACTATTAAAGAATATTGTAAGGATATTTTGGGAACGTAGACACTTTCTTAATTATTTTTTAAGGAACTAGAGATTTTACGTATGACCCACATCTCTCACAGTTGACAGTTGAGATCAGAACGAAAAGTTTAAAAATTTTGTGATCGTTTTTCGACAAACTTCAAATGATTGTTATTCATCGTACATTTAATTTTGAAACGAATTGTGTTTAAATGGGAACTGGTAATAGTAGAAAGTACACACATAGTTAAACATTTTCGTTGAAGAGGTAACAAATTCTCTACATAGGGAACTGGTCATACCAATACATTGGCTATATAGATATATGGTTTTTCAGACAGTTAAAGCTACCTATGAATATCAGCTCTTTGTCAAATTACTTTGCAAAACATTTCAACTTATTACAAATTCATATTAAAATTACAACATTGATTTATATATTCTCTCTGGAATATATGGAACCGAAATTTGCTTTTGACATCCCGTTGTTAAGTTTTCATCAAATATAAGTTTCAACATTTCAACATCTACTCTAATTCCTATTGAACACATTTTACATCAAATCTTGCCAATAATTCATTATCATTATTAGGAACATCATAATAATTACATTTATTTAACACACATTCACACAATTCATATTTTTAATAACAATAATGTATTTCAACAACAACCACTGGCTGCTATTCAATTCCATCATCATAATTATTATTAGTCAACAATTAAAGACCATTAACATTTACACAAAAAATAAATGTTTATAAAATGAAAATGAAATTCCCATAGAGATATAGAATATATACAACTAATATACATATGTATTTAAACTCTTTACATGTTATGTGTTTGGTAAACACGCATACATGCCCAGTAAATTACTGGCCATACCAACATTTAAGAGGGAACAATATAATACCATTGTGGTAGTTGGTGGAATTAAAACATCTGGTGGCTATCTGACAGACAAACTGACTATATGGCTCTCTTTGTCCATGTAAAAGTTACCAAAAATGCATTTGAATTATCGCAGCTAGTACGTATTGTTTAAATAATTGTGTTTATTGATGATAGTTTGTTGTCGATGTTGTTGTAGTTTTTGTTGTTGTGTATATGATAATGTTAAACGTGTGACCGAAATTTAGTGTAGGTTTATGATGTTGGTTTGTTTCTGCTTTCTGGGTAAAATGGTACTCACCTAAATTTTCCACTTGGCATGGGAGAACCAATGTATCACCCACAACAGCCCGATATGTATGTCCTCGCGATAGAAAACGTGGCTGATTACCCGATACAGTTTGTGGTGAATTGTTAAGCGGCCGTAGATTAGTGGCTGTAAATAGATAAACAAAATTTAAAATGGGGAAATTAATTTATAATGTTTAGCACATTGAAATGCTATTAAGAGCTATTTAAATAATAAAACATGTTAAATTAATTGATTTTATGGGGGAATTTGAAGAGAACATGCTATAAAACAATAATAGTTTATTAGTGTGTTAATTATTTCATTTGAAGTTAGTTTATTACACCAATTTTATACGGGGGAGTCTCCATAGAATAACTTAATAGAAGAGCAGAAAGTAATCTTCATAGACCAGCTGAAAGGAGTTTCAATATACGAGGTAAAGGGAGTTTCTGAATGAATTCTTTGATAGACGAGCTGAAGGGAGTCCTTCATAGACGATCTGAAAGAAGTCCTTATAGGGTTGAAGGGAAGGCTTTTTTGACGACGTGAAGGGAGTCTATCATAGACCAGTTAAAAGGAGTTTTTTTAGTCTACTTGAAGAGAGTTTTTATTGACGAGCTGAAGGGAATTTTCATAGACAAGCCTCTAAGGACGAGCAAACATGAGTTATTATGGACGTGCTGTAGAGAGTCTTCATAGAAGAGCCGTAGAAAGTTTATAAAATCGTAGATTTTTTACAGAATATTTTTTCAAGGGCCAAACAGAAGCGTCGATTTTTTAAAGAATATTTCTTTAAAGGAACAACACAAGACGTATATTTCTTAAAGGATATATTTTAAAAAATCTAAGCCTGTTGGTTCTTAAATAATATTCTTTAAAAAAGCCTTGGGTTGGTCCTTATAAAAATGTTCTTGCAAAAATCTAAGCCTTCTGTTGGTCATTGAAAAAATATCCTATAAAAAACTAAGCCTTGTGTTGGTTCTTGAAAAATGTTTCTTACAAAATTTGACGCTTCAGTGTGGTCTATGAAAAAAATATTATTTAAAAAATCACACAAGGCCTAGATTTGTTAAAGAATATTTTTTCAAGGGCAAAAGACAAGACGTAAATTTCTTAAAGAATATTTTTATAAGGACCAACCAAAGGCTTAGATATTTTAAATAATCTTTTTTCAAAGACCAACACAAGGCGTAGATATTTTAAAGAATATTTTTCAAGGATAAAAATATATTTTTCGAAGAACTATTAGAGGCAAAGGCGTATATTTTTGAAGGACATTTATCCATGAAGAGACTAAGAGTGGACATTTTCCAAGAGTCTATGAGAACCATAAAGGTGAGTATTTAAAGTATATGTTGAAAACATTAACCGTGAATTTTGTAAAGGATATTTGTCAAAGGCCCATGAGAGGCTAGGATTGGGTTTTTTCAACGACCAACACATGACTTAGACATTTTAAAGAATATTTTTTCAAGGATAAACATATATTTTTCGAAGAACTGTGAGAGGCATAGGCGTATATTTTTTAATGCTAATTTGTCAAAGGCCATTGAGAGACTAGGAGTGGATTCATAAAGGACATTTTTCAAGAGTCTATGAGAGCCATAAAAGTGTTTTTTACAGGATATTTTGAAAGCATTAACCGTGAATTTTGTAAAGGATATTTGTCGAAGGCCCTTGAGAGACTAAAAGTGGGGTTTTTTAATGCACTCTTTTGAAAAGCCATAAACGTGGATTTTTAAAGGATATTTTGTGAAGGACTATCAACTGTAAGTGGTGATTTTTCAAAAAATATTTTACTATGGACTATCAGAACTATAGGCTTATATTTTTAAAGGATATTTTTCGACGGACTATGAGAGCCATAGGGTAGAATTTTTGAAAGGATATTTTTCGAAAGGCAATGAAAGCCATAACGATTTTGTGAAGAACTATCAACCGAAAAGGCGGTGATTTTTCAAAGAATATTTTACGAAGGACTATCAGACCGATAGGAGTGGATTTTTTAAAGGCTATTTTAGAAGGACTATAAGAGCCATAAGTGCAGATTTTTCAAGAATATTTTTCTGATCTTTTCGGGCTGTAGGGAGTGGAGTCCTTAGTATATAATTTTTTATTGAATGCTTCTTTTTTTTTCACCTTTTCCTATATACCCTGGTTCGTGTTCACAAAAAAATATATTCTTTTATTTTTCTTTCATCTCCATAAAACTTAAAATATTATTAAATATTTATTTATTTACTTTATGTGCAGCAATTTTCTTCTTCGTCTTCCTCTTCGCTTTCATTTTGCGAATGGAAAAGTTGTAAATGCAAACAAATACAAAAATTATGCGGGAAGGAAAGCAACGACAAAATATTTAACTTTACGTTAAGTGAAATAGTTTAGTGACCCAATTTCGGGTGCAGTTTCAACGAAACAATGCACAATTCATTTTTGCGTTATGGAGGAGAGGGGAGCGCTCGGTAAGGGCCTTAAGCCTTGAAACAACAGCGAACAGTTAGTTCAGTTTGTGTGTTCAAGTAAGTAATCAACAAAAATCTGAGGCAGTAAAAAAATAACAACAACACCAACTGAAACTGAAAATAACAACAGCAGCAATGTCAACCACCATCAACAGTGGAGGAAAAAAGATTTTTAACCATAATTTCTGGCCCTAAAACTATGCATAACTGGTTGAGGGCATTAAACGCTGGAGAGGGGTTTGGAGGGATTGTCATAAATAGGGCGACTTTATTGTTGGGAGACATAGCATTGTGAATCATGGCGGCAATCCTGCTGTTGATGATGATGAAGACAACCGTTGATAGCTATGAGACAAAAGCCGAAAGGGAAATGAATAAAAAAAAACATGATGAAGACATAAAAATGTTTTTAATAGTCAAGGACAAGCTGTGCAGAAGCACCACAAAAAAAAAAAATTCGAGAAAAAAATGGTTTGAAAAAAGCACGAAGATTTATTTCCCATGAAGAAAAAACAACCAACAACTACTACAACAACAAAAATAGGAAGTGCATTTAATATTAAAAATATTTCACTTAAGCTAAATTGCTGCACCTTCTTCCTTTCCTTTGACAACATCTTCAACATCGACTATTCTGAGTAGTCGGTGGAAACCTTTTAGGTCAGCAGTCATCCTTTTGATGATAGATAACAATTTCCATGCAAGCACTTAAACCTGACATGACATAGGAAGAAGTTCTGTTAATGGATGATGAATTTAATCAAAAGCTTTAAAAATAGGAAATAAGAAGAAGCTGAAACTCAGTTCTACCAAATGGACTTCGACTGCGTGGCGTGCTTGGATTATTTTTAAGCTAAAAGATACTTTTTTTCAATTTTCAGGTGTTTTCCTTCGTTTTGGTTTTCTTTTTTCCGCTTCTTGAACAAATAATTCCTTATCTATTTAAGATTTATTTTTATTGCAGAATTTTACAAGTCCTTTAAAATTTAACAACCCTGAAAATGCACATTTTCACAGATTATTATGTTTTTGTTATTATTGTCATTATTGTGGAAAATCCTTTGGGTATTTTATGTATGCGCTCGGATAGTTTTATTGCACACCATGGGAGAGGGGGCTGCTGCATGTGTGACAATCAAGATTACAGGGAATTGAAAATATTTTGAGATTGGAAAAATTTATGAAAATCAAAAATCGAGGGGAGGGAGAAATTTGCTAAAAACTGGGATGTAAAGCAGCTAAATTAGGTTCCTTTAATGCTCTAAAGGTATTTTTTAAAGACGAGATGAAGGGAGGAGCTGAAGCTGCAAACAAGCTGCAGGAAGTTTTTATAGACGAGCTGAAGGGAGATTTTCATAGCAGAGCTGAAGGGAGACTTTCATAGCCGAGCTAAGGGGAGACTTTCATAGAATCGTCTATAGATGAGAAGAAGGGAGTTTCCTATAGACGAGCAGAAGGGAGTCTTCTATAGATGAGCAGAAGGGAGTCTTCGATAGATGAGCAGAAGGGAGTATTCTATAGATGCGCAGAAGGGAATCTTTCGTAGAATAGCAAAAAGGATTCTTTTAAGGGAGTCTTTTTAGACGAGCCGAATGCAGTCTTCTTAGACGAGCTGAAAGGAGTCTTCCATAGACGAGCTGAAGGGAGTCTTCCATAGACGAGCTGCAGGGAGTCTTCCATAGACGAGCTGAAGGAGTCCATAGACGTGCTGAAGGGAGTCTTCTATAGACGAGCTGAAGGGAGTCTTCTATAGACGAGCTGAAGGGAGTCTTCTATAGACGAGCTGAAGGGAGTCTTCTATAGACGAGCTGAAGGGAGTCTTCTATAGACGAGCTGAAGGGAGTCTTCTATAGACGAGCTGAAGGGAGTCTTCTATAGACGAGCTGAAGGGAGTCTTCTATAGACGAGCTGAAGGGAGTCTTTATAGACGAGCAGAAGGGAACCTTTATAGACGAGCTAAAGGGAGCTTTTCGTGTTAAAGGGAGTCTTTCATAGACGAACTGAAGGGATTCTTATACAGAAGAACCAAGAGACTGAAATTAGTATTTATAGGCTGGCCGGAAGGACAAGTAGAAAGGGAGTCTTACTAGAGCGAGCTGAACGAAGGCTGCATATTCTAGCTGAATGAAGCCTTAATGGCGAGATGATGGGATCCTCTTAAGGGGCTGAAGGAAGTCTCCAAAGCCGAGCTTTAATATGATGATCTGATGGGATTATTGTAGCATTTATCTATGGCATTTTGTATAAGCGAGCCATAATCTATATGATTCCAGTTTCCTTCCCCACCCTCGTTAGTGACACCGTTTAATTCCGCTGATTTCAAATGACTGTTATTGAGAACAGGTTACAAATACACACACAAACACACCTACTATGTGACAATCCAAAACCCAAGCATAAACTGAAACTTAAATTGCGACAAGAAAATCAGAGCAAAAGAAACCATAAAATACATTTTTCACTCTCACCCCAAACCTTTCTCCCTCCAAAAAAAACCGACTACCTTTAATGGCCCTTCGAAGCGAAAAAACGCACAGCACACGCACTCAAGGGAGATGAAGCCAAACGTACAAAAGCACACCAAATTGCTGCGATTGCAACTATGCCATGGTAATGGCAAATAACAAGAAAAAATCCGCTGGAAACCGGATAAAAGTCATGATACAAGTCGCCGGAATA